TTTCAAAAAATAATTGAATAACTACAAAAATAGATTTTGTAAATTATAATCAAATTTAACATAAACAATACATTTTTAATCAAAATTTGTATTTATTTTACAATGAAAATAAAAATAAAATGTCTTCATAACATTATACACATATTGTTTGTATGTGAAATACAACAGATATCGTTATAACAATTGACTATAATAAATTTTCACATACAAATACGGCATATAGAATTCATTTTCTATTTATTTTGGGTAGATAGTTTTAAAATAAATAAATATTATTGAATGACAATAAATAATATAGTGTATACATAGTATACTAGAGCCTATAATTTAATTACTACTGTTTAAACACGTTTAAGGCCAACGTTCACGTTAGACAATTTTAGTATTATCATTTAAGGAGGAATTTATAAAAAATATATTAGAGACTATGAGTAAGTGAAACCTAATAGATATAAATAGAAGATTAATAAAGATTAAAAATTCCAAATAATTTAACGTAGACGAATTTTAAGAAAATGTATAGCTGAAAAAATGATAATTGAACAGTCATAAATTGAGCATCGGAAAAAAAAATATTAAAGAAAAATTTGATATAAGAAATCAAAATGAGTGGACTGGTCGTATAATTAGACTTGATGGCAAATAAAATAAAACCATGAAGGATTAAAGATGTAGTTCGTATTTATTACTGACAATTAGGAAAGCAGATGAAAGAAACAGATGTAATAAAGCTTTAAACCAATGGAATAATCTGATGATTGATAATAAGATAGAGAGAGAGAGAGTGAGAGAGAGAGAGGGAGAGAGAGAGGGAGAGAGAGAAAATGTAGAATTAAGGTTTTTTTTTTTTAAATTCTTTTTGGACTCACCTATAGGTGAGTAATAATAATAGTAATAATAGTTGAACGGATTTTTACAAACTTAAAAATTTATCATAATTAGTGTAGGTTGGTATTTTTTACAAGAGAGAGTAATTTAAAGGTACTAGCCCTCAAATTAAATTTTAATTTACTAACGCAAAGTAATTGTTGTTCTGTCTATTATGACTACGTAGATATATTTTTGTCAACCTTTTAAAGGGGTTACTTTATAAATAAATTATTCATTATTATTATTAAAATCATTGGCATATAACGCAACGAATGACAGAAATTAAACATAATCATAATTTATCGTAGACAAATATACTATCTATCTACTCGTTATACTAACAGTTTAAATTTTAAATCATTTAATTCCATTTTATTGTAATAACGTATAATTATTATACATTTTATTTTTATTTTTACTTAATCAATTTCATACACCAAAGAAATGTTTAATTTCTTTATTTTTAGAGTCATGCGTTTTTAATTTTTTGGGAAGAATCATAATTTTAATAAACATTAGATAACTGTATCCCGGTCAATTTTTTGTATGGGAAATATTGTACAAGTCACAGTTTGTTGAAACAATGGGACTATTTGAATTTTTTTATAAAATATATGTGTTTTTATTCAAGAAATTGTGAATATTTTTACTAATGCGTGTACTGAAAGGGTTAACATTTTTTCAGATATATTATCTTTTAATATATATATATCTGTATGCACTTTCACTCACCTTCCGAAAATCAAACTTAAGGTTAACACTTGTACAAAACCGAAATATTTAGTTTTACTTTAGGATTACACTGTATAATAAACAAGTATAGTTGATTGACAAAATTGTTGTTCATACGTTCAAATATTGCTCACTTGATAATATGGTCTATTACTGTTCAAAATTTAAGTGTGAGTACTGAAACAGATTTTGAATTTATTATTTTTTTAAATCTTTAATCTTTATTTAGATGCCTATTAGCGTTTTCCATAAAACTACACTCATGTACACTTTTTGCCTACTATCACCTGCCATCATCTGTGCAGTAATAATATACATTTTATATTATATGTATTGTAACCTTATCTAAGCGAGTATAAATAGATGACACCTTCGATTTTGCGGCGAGACTGTGTAAATTATACTTGATAAGTATTTTATATTCAGGGTTTTTCTAGAGAACAATATGTTGGTGCTTTATAATTGGTACGCAAAAAAAACAATTATCTTTAATAATGGCTAAAAACTTGTTTACATTAAAAGAAAGACATGAAGTGCCTTCCTACAATATAAATTAATTGATAAAAGTATTTTGTTTTTAGATATTGTATGGTTCGGTACAGATGCTAGGGTAGGGCCTGAGCTATATTTGGTATAATGGACCGGACCGGACCCAGTCTGGCTTTGTCTGTATGTTATCTGTGTTTTAATTTAACAACTGTAATTTAATTAACGGTATATTACGATAGTATTATAGTTCTATTTTATTTAAAATTACAATACCAGGTACACTCGTGGAGATCAGTTTTACTAATCACGTGTAGTGTACTTGAGTAATAGGATGAAAAACGCTCTATAATAAATTGCCTATCATATTTATTTGGATTTGAAAATTTGGTTTAATGATACTTGTGGTGAAAATGTCTAATTCACTCAACACTATATGCCGTTTAATACATTGTTAAAATATTCTCCTAAATGGATTGGTTGACCTCGAATGGGTTTGCGTTTGTGAATTTACGTAAAATGTAAATAATCGAATCTTTAACAACCGTAAATGAGTAGATATATTTAACATAATTAACATTATATACGACAAATTAACGACTGTTTTACGGTAATAACATTGGTGGTAGAGTTCGTAAAATATTCGTGTTGGTTAATGTAAAAAGTATAATAAATAATAATATGAAAATGCATATTTAATAATAAAACATCTATAATACATTAATAATGTATAGTAATAATGAAAATGATATATAAACAGACAAAATATTACAAATTGGAAATACTTCGTGCTATGAGTTGCAATTGTTGTAGTTTAGACGTTTTGAAGTTGTATGGATTCAGGTTAATTATTTAGATATATAATTTAAATAAAAAATAACTCTGAATGGAACTCAGTAACGTTATAGTATTAAAAACCATCAGTCATATAACCGACGTATTGTTATTTGTGGCCAATTTTTTTTTTTTTTTAGAAAAACTGTAGGGAACCTAAAAAATGTCAAATGAAATACTACCATAGAGCCTTCTTCTTGAAAGGCACAATTTGAATAATTTGGAGAATTTTTAAAAATTGAATAAGTATAAGAAGAGTAAAAAAAGTAAAAAGAAAACACATTAAATTTCATATGTTCTTCACTGAGTATCTATGTACCCAGAATCTAAAATAACCATTCAAATTTATATTAAAAGAGTTTAGAGTTCATTATAAACTACAGCGACCATTAAACAAAATTGTTTAATGGTCTTAAATTAAATATTTTCAAAATTATATCTTTATTCCGAAAATTCACGATATTTTTTTAACCCCGATCAGAAAATTTATTTAATGAAAATTTCTTTATGAGTAATACCAAAATATCGGATTTACTGGACATGAGTTATAAACATTAAGTTATAAGTTGGTTTATGAAACATGTGAATTTATAATGCCATTTTTAAGTAATGAATGATTTTACTATGTTGTGATTCTTTTAGTTTATTTATTTGTTTATGTTTGTGAATTACTCTTTTATTAAAAATAATCTTTCAATTAAAAAATGAGAGATTTTTTGTAGAATTTTGGACCTAGTTGTTGCATGGGGTAGGTCATTTTTTATTTCCTTGCATTTTTCATAATAATTAGGAACACAAATATTTTTATGGCAATACAAGTTTCATTATTTCGATTTTGTTTTAGATTCTTAGTGGAGCAAGGTATTGGTTTTAAAATTATGTTTATTTATTTATTTTAATAAAGTAAAAACATAATTATTAAAATGGTTAATTCTCGCAAATAAATAAAGTCGCGTTTTATATTTCGACTATATACCTTATGATGAATTTTTAATTCGAAACCGGTAGTATAATACACTTATCATAATACTCTAGGTGACGCATTCATTAATTAATTAATTTTTATTTTTATTCATATATTTTTTATTTACATATTTATTTATTATAATTATTTACTTTATTTTATTTGTTTATACTGTATACAAAATTTCTACCAGAAATCTTGCTTCGGTTTTCAAGTGTAGTTCCTTTTCTGAATGGAAATTTGGTCCAGATGGTACTGTAGTAGTATTAAAATAAGGTTAAACGGAGAGAGATAGGTAGAAGATGGAAAAGATAGAAGGAGAGGAAGGAAAGGGGTAGGAAAGCGTATGTGGTTATAAAGGGGGTGATAGGTATAGGTATATTCATATTCGTATGTATGACGTATGACGCGAACGCGCGATCTGTCTATCGATAAGATGATTGAAGGCAGTGTTGCCATAAAGTGCAATCCGCCGGATAAGATCTTGAATAGACTCGCAGCGTAATATGTTGACAAAATTGGTATAGTGTGTGTGTAAACCATTCTGTGTGCGTGTGCGGCCGTTTGGATTGTATTGTAATATATACACGAATACCTATATTGTGTCGATAAAAACACATATATTGTATCTATTCACGGTGGATATTGCCTATGGTAAAAAGTTATATTTCTCTTCTGCCTATTTTACTCTTATTAATATTCTACTACGAAAATATGGAAAAATTAAACTTACCTTATATTTTCTACTTGAACTTCGTAAAAAGTTTGTTGTTAAAAATATTGGGAGCTGGATATACATGGTATGGGTGTTGTAATTTTGTAAATCTTTTATTAGTTTCTCATTATTTTCTTTTAACGTTTTTATAGTTTCATTTATTTTAAAAATTTCTTCTTTAAATATAGATTCCTTAGTTTTTAATGTTGATTGATTGCATAGACTACCACTCGCCATAAATTCAATTTTTTCAAATTTTTGAATATTATATTTAAGATTTTCTACGGTATTGTTGTCCATAAAACATACATATCTAATAATATCTGATTTGAGGCCCTTCATGATATTGCGTATTATTTCCTGTTGTGTCATTAAGGGGTCGAAACGTCTGCATAGATATTATATGTCAGTTATATATACCATGGGTTGTTCGTCATCTATTTGTTTTCGTTTTTCTAATTGAGAACGAAGAATGTCAATTTGGGCGGTAGGTTCGAATTGTATTCGAAAATGTTTTTTAAAATTTGACCATTTAGTTTTTATATCACTGTTATCTGGTATATTTTCATATGTTTTTAATGCGGTACCCTCTAGAAAACCCGGGAAATATCGAATTTTGTCTTCGTCAGACCAGTCATTAATTGATGCGGACATATTGTATTTATTGATGAAAGATTCAAAATTTTCCCAATTTAGTCCCGAGAAGGTTCCAGGTTTGAAATATGGTTTTTTACTAGTCATTTTTGTGGTTTTTTCGTTGTCATTTGCTTGGTTGGAAGTAGGTGTTTTATATTTCGTAAAACCAGTGGGTATAGATTTACCCATGAGATATTGTAACAGTCTAGTCCTTAATTCGGATAGCGTTCCTGAAGTAATAAGCCCTCTTTTTATAAGTTCTGTTTCTATTTGGTTTTGATCTAAATTCGATACGGTCTCTGCTACCGGAGTAAAATTTGGGTTAGAGGGATTCATTTCTACACGGACAAAACAATTTTTATTAATAGTTATTTACTTTTATTTATTTATTTATTTATTTTTTGTTTTTTGAGTTACCTATTAGTTGGTTGATAATTTTATAAAACGTTTAAGCTAATATTATGTTCGATATATTTTTTGGAGGTGTGGTACGAGCTTTTTAGTTGGGCGCCACTTTGTTGTAATTCAAAAATATAACGGGTCAGCCTAATTCTATAAAATTGATTCACACGTGTAAGTTAATTATAAATTTGATTACCTTTCTTCTTCAGGCGGCAAATTGATCTGTTGAATTTGATAAATGTGACCGAAGTAAATACAAAGATTTTAATGTAACAACTGTTTTTTTTTTATTAATTTTTTTAAAATATAAAACACTGTTCTAGGTTCCCGTGCTTTTGTAAGNCAATACACACACTGTGTGTGATTAGAAGTGGCCGGCCTCCTTATAACTGGAGATCTATGTGTGTGTGCGTGTGTAAATGTGTAATCTTAATCTGGTTAATACTAACAACTTAATCTAATACTTAATGGCTATAAATTATTATAATTATTTTACAACATTGACTATACATTTTATTTTAACAATATATGATATCTTAAATAGCATATCCTTACGATGAGTAGATATCGCATTAAAATATATGTTATTTGATAAAAAAATATGTAATTGAATATATATGTTTAATTTTCGTTCCTGTTATTAACTGTTTGATTTATTTCTTACATTACATAATATTTTATTTTTCATAATGTATGATAGCTTAAATAGCATATCATTACATGGGTATCGATGAATCGTTGCAATGTATAAATCTCATTAGGTACCCAATAGACGTGTGAATATTCTTTTTTGCCTTTGACTCACAACGCGGCAACCAGGTGTATAGACAATGCTCGTGTTAGCGAGAATCGTATTTTCTCCACTGCTCTTTCTAAGCGTTTAGACAATCGTTTCACGGAGATGAACGAATTAGACGTCAGCACTACAACCACGTTCGTTCTGTATTCACAACCGGTTAACGAGATGTCTATAGCCGTTTTGCCAATGGTGTTAGACTCTTTTAAGTGCAAAGTACATATGTCATTCTATCCCTTTTTAGGCATGTAGACAACTGTTTTTCGGGATGTGTATAACCGTCTACGTACTGGAATATTAAATATGTTTTTTTAAAGAAATAAACACAGTCTATGGTAAAACAATAGTGACAACAAGCACAATTACTAGGTATATAGGAAAAAAAGATGTGTTTGGAGTGATTGAACAAAAAATATCTGCTTCTGCTGGGTGAACGCAGAGAAGTGAAAACTGACTTGTAGACGGTCGGACTATCGTTTTGTGTGACGCGTATTTTTGAGCTTTTTATAGACATTTTAATTTTGCTTGTTTTTACATAATTTTTATTCAGTAAGTACTCTGTGGATAAAAATGTTAGACCAAACAGAAATGATAGAAAATTTAACAAGAGGTTCATTTTAAGTTATAACTAATGTTTAACAAGAAAAATTTGAAATAAATATATTGTTTTTTTTATAAACAATTTTATATTTAATTTTGATAAAAATCGTACATATGGCTTTTTTGAAATATGTGTTACCAAACTTTGTTTAGAATCGTTTTTCGTTAATAATGATTGTGGCGTATAGATATACATTAAATTCTCCTTTATATCCTACCTTACCATCTTCTTACTTGCTACAACAGTGGATCACCCATCGTGCAAAGTATGTCAGTATTTGTACTTTTTAAATTTAGATAACTTTGAATTAGTAAACACTACATACTATTTTTCTCAAACGTTTTTAAAAATACATAATCGAAGTATCCCGAAAATCGCATAGCATATTTTACGAGCAAAATTTAAAATTGTTTTGTTAACTGTTTTTAACGAGATATTTGGGTTATTATAAAATAATATTTATCAAAAATAATTGTATTCGTTCACACGATTTTTATTAGATAGGTTCACAAAATAAACGAATGTAACATTATTTTATGTATACAAATTACTTCGAAAACGCGATAACTTATTTATTTTTTAATATCCGTATATATGCTGTTCGGAAAAGGTTGTTCGATTACATTTATATAAGACTTTTTTTTTATTAAACAAAAAAAAATTTAGCACAACTTCAAAAACTACATACTAAAAATTGTATACGAAAATGTTAAATGTTAAATGATAATAATCATCACATTTTAATTATTATTAAATTGTTTTCCTGTTTCTGTAATGATGTTTGATTTTCAACCTTTAAACAAAATGTAATGTGGACTTCTCAAAAACTGCCCTAAAATTTTAGGATAATTTATTGGTAAATTTAAAAATGTTTAGAGTGGGAGGGGTATTTATTGGGTTTAGGGCAGCATTAATCTTCATCGCGATATTCTTATTACCGTTTATGTAATCGAAATTTCACAACATTCTTTTCGCTAAAATCGGATACTATAAATGTTTTGATTTTCCACAAACTTAGAAATAATACCACTAAAGCACATTTTTCTACATAATATTCAGTTGTAAATATTCGTTTCGTGAAAGAAAAATAAAATAGTTTTATTTATTATATTAAGCGCTTATACTATATCTAAGATGAATTTTTTAATAGGTTAGGTATTTTTAATAATTTTATTAAATATACGTAAACAAATAAATGTATTGTAATAAAACAAAATACAAATAAATATTAAATTCTTTAAGTTATTCGCGTTACAAATTCAAGGTACAAATATTTTAAGCGAATTACGTCTCATTTTCTTACAAGTAAATACCTACGTGCTACAACAGGTATATACTATATTTTAGACGCTTCGCATACTCTCCATTAATTATATTATAATTTTTTACCATTCCATAACATTTCATTTATTTGCAATCTTCTTGAATATTGTCTTATTTTGTGTTATTGTTTTGTTTACAAAACTAATTAAAATTTCTCGACAGATTTTGATAAAAAGTATATAACCGCAGTTTATAACCTGAAGAATCGACCGAAACAAGGTTTGTCAAAATTTATTATGTACTTAGTTCGTGCTCGAAATTTTTTCTTAACATACAATTAAAGGTTACTGTATGTATAAATAGTGAGATAAGAAAATTTCAATAATTATACATATGAAATAGTTATTCTTGGTGGAGTTTATATGTGTGTAAACGGTGTAAAATTCACCTACTGTACCGACTGTCCAATTCTAACTTTGAAAACATATTTGAATACTTTAGTCTGTTTTTACTTAGTTAATTAAATTCAAGAATGTGAATAATATTGTGATTATTGTGAATTTATTTTTTTATTCAAAATAAACTAGTCATTTAAAAGCGCCACCAGAAATACAATATTAAAATATTATAGCCACAAATTTAAGAGAATAATTTTATGAAGTTAAATCATTTTTCAAAATAAAATGCAACTTAATATTACTATAGAAGTGTGAGTTCATTTTACACCAACATCTTGGTTTAAATGGTTTATAAAAAAACGAATCACTCTTAACCTTCTTAAAAATAAACATAAATTATTTATTGTTATTATTATTATTTTTTTTTTTGTGTGTTCTGTTTGTAATTAAAATTTTGTTCTTAAATTAAATATGCCTTACTGGTAAACGTGTAGATTTTTTATTAGATTACTTGTCTAAAGAATTGGAGACCACCATAAAGCTTTTTCAGTGTATCACGTATACCATTAACGTTATCTTTGTATGTATAGCAACCATTTGAATATATTTAACGGATACGCTTCTTGATAGTATAACATTTTTTTAGATACCTATATGTATTATTGGCATCTCGTATGTTAAAAACATTACAATTTTTGTTTGGTTTCAAAAATAATACTAGATATTTAGCGAAGTGAAAACTATACTGGTTTTATTATGATTTTCTTTGTGTCTGTAAACAACTTTTCTACTATAAATATCGTTTCAATTAAAAATTGTATAAGAACTTTATGTATAGAATTTTTTATTTAGTTGATATATCATATCAACTTAAAGGTAATTTTTTCTTGTAACTTTCTTAATAATTGGGAACAAATTGGAAATTGTTTGTATAATTTGTATTGATTTCTTGGTTAACTTAACAACAAGAGGAAACAAAGAGCTGATACTGCTGATGAGTAGGAATTTGAGAAGGAGTTATTCGTTATACATATATACGGGATGAACAATTATTGCATATAACAATTAAAAATATTTCTGAGCATAATTAAATTATACATATTTTGAAATGATGTCAAAATTTGAACTTTAAACGATTACAAAAAAAATAATTATAATTATTTAAATATTTTTCAACTCTTTTTCTAACCAATAAATACAAATTATTCTTAACTTGTGTTAAATGTTCAAACATTTTTGTTCGGCATAAACAATTATATCTACAGAAAACTAAACAAAACACGAAGTATTAAATGTCTATAAATAGCTTATATATTTACCAGAAAGTTTTAAAAATGTTACCACGTCTAGAAATGGCCCATTTAGGCCATGCAGTTTGTTTTCATGTATTATGTATTTTGAAACATTTCAAAATGACACAAAAATCAAAAATGATGAAACTTAGTTTTTTCTACTTATTAAGAAAACTTATTAAAAAAATAAAAAAAAAAAATTACCTATCTGTTGTAATAATTAGGTCTAAAATGCTTAAAAAAGCCCTAGCGTAATTAAAACTTATATAAATTGATTTATATGATACATGATTTATCGTTATAAATAGATATAAATTAAATAATTTAATGTTTTTTATGCCTTCTCAACTTCCCACCTACAATAGTGCTACACCCATCATATGTACAGGTTTTTTTTTAATTGTTTGTTTTAGATTAAAGAATAGTGCTTTGTTTTAATAATATTATTTATTATCTCTTAAAATTATTTATTTATTTTTTTCATTTTAAAATTGTAATTGTTTAATATCATTGCATGTACAATAGAATATTATATAATACTTAAATACTGTTCTTAAAATTATAAATGTAATATATTTTCAATCGGAGTTCAATGATTTTAATAATTTAAGTTTTCTCTGCGATATAATATTATTGAACTATTGTAGCATACGTAAATAACGGATAGAGTTTTTATGAAAGATGGCTAGAATATAATTGTCGCGGTTCTTTGATCTTGTTTTCAAACATTTTTTGTCCGTAATTCTGATACTTTCGCAAAGTAAAGTAAAATTTAATTTTGATTTTTTTTTAAAGTTTTCACAGAGTCATCGTATTTTATATAACCTAGGATTTTTATTTTTGCTGCATAATTTATATAAAACGATTATAATTTAAATTAGATTATGACGGGGTGATGTTTTTAAAAATTGTTTACTA